CTACTAGAACTGGACAAATGTCAAAGGCATTAGGAAAATGTCTTTTAGGATGCCATGGGTTTCAAAACAATTTTTTTTCTCTCTTTAGACATTTGAGGAATATTGGGGGGTTGGAACTAGGAATTGAGTCTGGATAAGCAATCTGGTATAATTCAAAGAGCACAGAGGGGTTGATGAGAGACTCAGTTCCAGTTGAAACCACCATAAACTTCCCAAGGGATCTTGTTTTAGTGAGCTTTTTCACTGCTCTAACTAAAGGACCTCACAAGAACAATTAGAGGAAAAGTTTATTTTAGGGCTCACTGTTTCAAAAGATTTCAGTCCAGAGGTGTCTGGCTACATTCTTCAGAGCTTGAGGTGAGGGTGAACAGCATGGTAGGAGAGGGTGGTAGAGGAAAGTGGTTCAAAACATCACACCAGGAAGCAGACAGAGGCTCCACTCACCACATATAAAGTATATACCCAAAGCCACACCCCTAACACCCACCTCCTCCAACCATATCCTACCTGCATTCAGTTACCACTCAGTTAATCCCCATCAGGGGATTAATTCATTGACTGGGTTAAGGCTTTCATAACCCAATTATTTCACTGCTGAGTGTTCTTGCATTGTCTCTCACATGAGCTTTTGGGGGACACTTAATATCTAAACCATAACAAACCTGAATTCACTCTCTGCAGTCAGTCTTCCTGTTGGTTAAAGAGGACATAAGTCTGTAATCTTGTGGTCTCTAAGGTTTCCCCCAGACAAGTTCAGGAAAGTTCCAAGGCTAAAAGAGAAAGGGGTTTAGGGAAGATTGACTCTTCATGAACCCCCTTCCCCGCATTACTGTGTTTCTTCTTGGAAGGTCTATGTTCTGATTCAGTGAGGAAACAGGAATCTTATCACAGCCAGAGAATCAGATGGAGGTCAAATCTGAAGGTTGCTAGGACTGAGTTCTTGGCATTTGCTCTGCTACAAACAAATATTATAACTTAAGCATTTTAGGCTAGGTTTAGGGCAAGTATGTGGCCATGGCCTGAACATCAGGAGTTGCCTGAAGCATGTGCCAAGCTGAAGCCAGCACTTACAAGTCAAAGGGAAGAACTAAATAAAGCCTTCCAGATAGGAGCCTGTGGGAGGGGAAAGATGACTGGCCCCTGAATGAAGTCACGGCCCAATCCCTGCCAATAATCTGTATATGAGGCCATGTCCAGATATTATACAGCATCTGTGCTCCCAGAGAACTGCAAGATACATATAATTATAATCATCTGAGAACAAAGGCCCCAAGCCTAGGCCCTGGGACATAGCAGCAGATGGTTGTTCACTGACTTAGCATCACTAGGAGGTAAAAGGGGCAGCACGGTGAGCAAGCCCTAGGCTCTTTGGTCTCACAAAGCTGACTTGCAGCCCAGATGTTTGTTAGCTATATCATCCTGGTTCCACTTCCTGAGGCCTCTGCCTCCCATCTGCTATGTTGATAAGATTATGTAAAGTATGACACATTACCCAGACAGAGCAAAACTATCAAAAAATGAAGTGACCATTGTTATTGCATGTATCTGAAGTTTTGTGAGTAAATGGAGAGGCCTGTAAATTGGCTTCTGTTTAGCTTTCTCTCCCACTATTTTCTATCCATTCCAACAAAGCCTCAGAAATTTGCTTAGTGTCTCAGGCATATAACATATATTTAATACCCAAAGTGTCTTTTTTTGGTGGAACTGGGGATGGAACCCAAGATATTATGCATGGTAGGCTAGCACCCTACCACTAAGCTTCAACCTCAGCTTCTGTTTTAATTATTTCAATGGGTCTCTTCTTACAAATGAGTTGCAGGTTTATGTACCTATCCATCATAGTACAGTTGGCCCTCTGTATCACTGGGGTCCACATCCTTGGATCCAACCAACCTCAGATTGACAGTATTTGGGAAATTCTTTTTTGTACTGAACAGCTATTCATATTCTTTTTCTATTGTTATTATTCCCTAACCAATATACATAACAACTATTTATATAACATTATCATTTTATTAGCTGTTATGAGTAATATAATGATTTAAGTATGTTGAGAAAACATGCATAGGTTACAGGCAAATACCATGAGTGTGTAGATCTGTGGAGTTTGGGATCCTTAGGGGATACTAGAAATTCATTAGCTGACTGTACTTACCAGTACAGTACTTAGCAGGTCCTGGCCAGCCTCTGGCAGTCCCGAGCCTTCAGAAGTCCTTATATATCTGTTTCCACTCTCACTGCAGGAGGTTGTATCTGGTCTGTTGTCAGATTGGGGGATCACATTAAGGTCCTTCTTACAGTTCATGTGACCCTCCTATGTACCTTATGAGTGGTCCTGTCATGTGCACGTGCTCCTTTGACTTCACTGACTTACTCAATTTACATTGACTGAAGTATATGCGAGAAGGTATAGTGCAAGTGGCTAGCCAAAAACTGGAGGCCTGGTAACTGCCTTCAGGAATTCCCAGCCTAGTGACTTGAAACAGGCAGAAGATAAATACAGTGTCACAGCACAGAAGACCAATAATAGGAGGCGTGCGTGTGTGGTGTATGTGTGTGTGTGTGTGTGTGTGTGTGTGTACAGGGTTGAGGAAACAGGTCAGACCACATCATCTCTTTTTATCAGATGAGGAAACAGACTCAAGAGATAGGCCATCCCAAATTTTCACAGCTAACAAATGTTAGGGTTAGAATTTAAACCCTGCTCTTGGTCTTGATCCTACTGCTCTTCCCCCTATACCAAGGCATGGCTTGGTGGACTTTTTGATTCACACATCTGCCTGTATGTGCTTTTTTTTTGGCACCGGAGATTGAACCTAGGGGTGCTTAACCATTGAGCCATGTTCCTAGCTCTTTAGCTCTTTTTAATATTTTATTTAGAGTCAGGGTCTCATTGAGTTGCAATTGCTAAGTTGTTCAGGCTGGCACTGAACTTTCAATCCTCCTGCCTCAGGCCCCCAAGCTTCTGGAGTTTGTGTTCTGTTGCTGTAACAAAATACCTGAGACCAGGTAATAATATAAAGAATAGAAGTTTATTTGGCTCCTGTTTCTGGAGGCTGAGATGTCCAAGAGCATGGCATGCAATTTGTGAGGGCATTCTTGCTGCATTACAACAGGGCAAAGAGCATTACCACATGGCAAGACAGAACAAGCATGCTCTCCAGAGTCTGACTTGCATATCCTACAAAGTCACCAGTGCCATCTTTGGGACCTCACCCTCATGATCTCATTTAATCCTTACATCCCTAAGGCCCTACCTCCCAAATACTACAAATATGAGTTTAAGGATTAAGTTTCAAACACATAAAATTCTGGGGGGGATACATTCAAATCATATCACTGTTCAGCCAAATCATCCATTCCCTGAGGCTGAGTTCTACACTCAGTTTGGGTCCAGCTCTGACAGAGATGTGACCCAGCATTCTAACTCACCAGCTGCCCGTTATTCTCCCAGATCACTCTCTGGTCCTTGTTCAGCTGGGTCATTTCTGGAAGAGTAGTAAGTAGTAAGTGAGGGCAAACACTGGCCTTACACACTGGACACTGAGGAACACCAATGACCATGTTATATGGTGTGAATAGCAGGCAGTGTCTGTGCCAGCCCTATCATTCAGGAGGCTGACTTGAGAGCATGGTGAAGACTCCTGTCAGGAATGTGAGAACAGCTACCAGAGAGTAAATAACTGTTACTATCTCTTATTAGTATATCCTTTCATATACATCTGCTTTGGATCCTCCAATTACCCCAGGATAGAGTTTCCTATTTTATAGATGAGAAGACTGAAACTTAGAAAGGAGCAATGGTTTTTCTGAGGGAAGGGATGGTAAAAAGACTGCAAGCCAGGAATCAACCATTATATATTCATATATATATTTTTAGTTGTCAAAGGATCTTTATTTACTTATATGCGGTGCTGAGAATTGAACCCTGTGCCTCACACATGCCAGGCCAGTGCTCTACCACTGAGCCATGACCCAAGACCATATTCATATATATTAACAAAACTACTCCTTTGAAGTCTCTATGTGCAGCATCAATAGCTGCATCTTAGGAGTTGCAAAAAAAGTTCAGATGAATTTTGTGTGCAAAGGATCTGAGTTGGTAAAGTCTGTTAAGTTCTAGGGACTGAACAATAGCAAGGATGGATATAGAAAGAGCCCATAGGACCCGGTTGCACAGGGCATGTGGGCTGCATCTTAAGTTCTTGTTTTTAGGAGTAGTTAGGGATCAAACCCAGGGACTCAAGCATGCTGGGCAAGAACTTAGCTACAACTGTAGCCCTGAATCTAAGATTTTTGAAGTTCATGTCATTAAAGAATCCTAAATAAGTGGCAGGCAAAATTGGAGTAGTTTTTAAAAATATGCCTCCAATTTCCTAGTGAACGTGATCTGAAGTGAAAGTAGAGGCAAAGGAAGGCTGGACTTTGGAGTGGTAACACAAGGCCTGGGAGAAGTGGATAGATTTGCAAGGTACTGAGGAGGTAAATCAACAGGGCATGCGTTTAACTCCAGGTGAAGAGAGGAAGAGGGAGAAGTGTTTGTAAATGCAACCATCTCCCCTCTGGCCTGTGACCCTCATCACCTGAGCAGATCAGTGCAGAGTGCTGATGTTGAGGCATCATGCTGAGTCACGCTCTATTGAAACAGTGGGACCTAAACCGAAGTTGAGTTAAACAGAGGCTTTCCTTAATCATTTTTCAGAATGTTATGATGTCTGCATTAAAGAACTGGGCTCACCCATTCGGCAAGATCTACCTCCGACAGCACAAGCCTATGGTAAGTTACCTAGTGTGCTGTACTTTCTGCTCACTAGTCCTGACTGGAAGAAGCCTTGCTCCTGCTTGAGGGCCTGTGAAATCAAATCTCTATCAGCTCACAGCCACTCTCAAAGTCAGTACATTCTGAAATCTTCATGATCTGCATCTACTGCATTGACCTGGAATGATGCCCAGCCCAGAGTGGGACTGCTGTGGTTGGGAATGAGTCTGGGGACAGAGGCTGTAAGTGAAGCTTTATTGGCTTCTAATAAGTACAGGTATATACAGTTTGTATGAGTCTATGTTATATTATTTCACTTAATTCTATTCATACTGTGCACACTCCTGGACATGAAGCAGCAGATTCTGCTCTTATTACTCCACAGACAGTGGAGAAAAAGGATGCTGACAGGAGCCATTCCTTCTCCAAAGACATTCATGGGGGCTGCCTGCCCCCTTTCCCAGACACTGAAGCCCTCCCACAGAAAATCTGTGCCTCCCACCTGCTCTGGGCACTTGCTGACAGAATCTGGGTGGTGGTAGCAGCAGCAGCTGCTTCCCAAGTCTTTCTCCTGAGTAGAATAGAATACTTGTTGGAGAGCCAAAAAGAAGCAAGGGCTCCCACTAACTAGCAGAGGCAAACTGATAACCTGATCCTTAGAGCCTGACAGGAATCCTCTGCACTTGAATGGCCTGGATTCTTTTGGGCCGAGTGGCCTGGATTCATGGGGCACTGGTGTGCAACTTGTTCAGGCAACTTGTTCATAACATAACCAGCCAGTTATTGCAGTTGGTGCAGAAGTCAGTGAACTCCTTCAGTAGCTTATCAGCAAACTTCTTGGTCCCTGTGGGGCAAAAACAATTTGTCTTGGTGAGCATCGTTCTGTAGTTCCAGCTGTAACTGACCTATCCGCATGGAACATATTCTGGTTGGTGCAGATGGTGAAGTCCCACCACTGCAGCTCAACCAAGCAACCTACATTTGGAGTAGGGCAGCTGCAGAAACGGTGTTCCTAAAGGGAAAGGACACCAGGAGGGCACCTGCAGATGGCTGAGGTGCTTCTTCCACCACAGGATTGGTGTAGGGGAAGAGACTTCTGTGAAGAGGCCCAGGCACCCCAGGGCTCATGCCCCTGCCTCGGGGTCCCACCTAATCAACTTTTTATCCATAGTTCCTCACCTGTAACATGGGTGTCCTAAGGCTTATTCTCAGCAGAAAGTTAAAAGCAGAGGTAGAATATTTATCTTGTCCTAAAGGAAGGACAGAAAGGCACATATTATAGGCTAATCAGACTCTCTGCCTGAGTTAAAGGAATCTGGAATAATCTCATTTAAGATGACTCTGCAGACTGCTTATTTTTGTCCTCTACCCTCTCCAACCTTTACGTCTTCTGACACTGTGACTCTTCTGCTCTCCTGCTCACCACCTTTCATCTCCCAGGTCCTCCGTGTTACTTCAGTGAATGAAAGCCCTCCTACCTGCTCTATTCTTCATCCAGCCAAATCTCTCCTGCCATATCCCCCAGATGCCCCAGCAGCACTCCCTACAGTGCATTCTCCCCTGTGTCACCCCGGGCCTTCCCTCTGCCTCTTGCTGGAATCTATCCACCCACATACATTCCTCATCTTAATTTACCTAACTACACCTCTCTCCCTTTTCCCAGTGTTCTCAGGCTAACATGTAGAAGTTTCTCAATAAAGGCCTTGAATTGAAATGAAATGAAGTATCTTAATTGAAATCCTTTCTTTAAAAGTGAGGAAGAACAACTTGAGGCTATTAGTTTTGCTGTGTTCTGGAAATGGGCAAGAGGAGCCATTATTCATCTGTGACTTGTTCTGTTCTCCTGCTCATCTATGGCTTGTACTATTCCTGGTTCTTCTATTTCCATAAAGCACATTTATTATAGACCTACCTGCTAAGAGCTGTAAAAAGGACTTGCTAACAGATGTGGCTCCTGCCCTCTAAGTCTGAGGAGTTTATGTAACAAAGGCAGTGATGTAGGCAGAGCTAAAGGAGGTAAACTGCCTGTCTCCTATCCTGGGCTGAGTTCCCTAAGAGGGGGTGTGTTGTAGCCTCTATCCAAGCTGCTGGCATTACTCTGATATTCTATAAGAATTTACCAAAGAACACATGAAGTCAAATGTGCAAATTAAATGGATAGGCAAATGTGCACTGCAAACTTCTTCATCTACAGGCTGCTTCCATCATTATAGGAATGGTCTGGATTTTGTCTCTGCTTTCTGTCTATTTTCCAGTCAAGCCTACTGATTTACTCAGCATGGATCAGCCTCACCAGGGTATTCTTCCCTCATTTCTTTGTTAGATTATCAGGAACATCTTTATTTTAAACAAACAAACAAACAAACAACAACATAATTTAATCACATTACTTTCTGTCTCCCTTTCCACTTGAGAAGAATGCAATTCAGGATTGCAATGAAGGCCAGGGGCTCCTGCCAGGGAAGAGGCTATAGCAATCAAACACAACTGCTCAGATGAAGATGAAGGAGCTGGGAGTCACAGCAGAGGGGATCCAGGGAAGATGGACACTTCTACTTTGTCGGTGGTGGACCTGTGTATGAGGAGCTTATATAAGGAAGTCAGTGATGTAGGCAGTCTACATCCTCAGATCTGTGGATGGGCTAATGAGTCATTTCAGAGCCACATTCCCACTAAGAGTTCCACTCCATGCAAAACTGTCAAAAAAAAAAACAGCTACTCTGGGCAAGGCACTGTGCTAAGCATTGTAGAATGAAACAAAAAAATGAGAAAAATATATCCCTTTGCCCTCTAGGAGTCTCAAGTCAGTGTAATAGATTAACAGAATGCCCAGGAGAAATGGAAGCAAGAATGCAGAGGGGAGGAACCTGGTGAGGGAAGATTCTGACAGGTGTTGAAGGAACAGGGGCTCGGTTACAAGGTGCAAGGTGACACCCAGTAGAGTGGTACAGTGATACAAGGAACTTGGAAGACACATGGGGAAATCAGAGGTGGGTCAGTGAAGATGAAGAGTAAAGGGCAACAATTTAGAGAAAATATGACCAGAATCTGGGCTGAGGGAGACCCAGAAGAGAATACTGTGAAGATGGTGGGGAGGCAGATTTGGCACACAGAGGTCACATCTCAGAGATATCGTCAATGTAGTGCAACGATTGCCTGATGAGGCACCAGGCAAGCTGCTTACAAACTCTTCAATGAGCTGGGGTCTTCCTAATGACTGATGTTCTCTGCGGTCTCACAGGTGGGCCCAATAATTTTGTTCAGGGAGTGAAAATGAAGGCTCTGAATTCCAGAACTTGCTATGGAACTTCCACAGCTCAAGCAGATGCTGGTGGAAGGGAGGATGGGCCAGGCCTGTCTGCTTCCCAATTCAAGGGCCTTTTCCACTGACCACTATGCACCTTCTGCTCTGCCCCAAATCTATACCCTCTTATGGGAAGGTGGAAGTCAGGGAAACATTCATCCCACAGTCTTTTCTAAGCACCTGAACTAGGTCTAGACATTCTAGTCAGAATAAGGTCTAAAGCATGCCAGAGCCAAGGTTTAGACTGAGGCTGAGGCTGAAGAGTCTGGATTTCATTGTGTGGCTGTGTGAGTGCAGGGGTGTGGGTTAGGGGTGACAACAGTTGAAGATATCTGAACAAGATGATATGACATTGATGAAGGTATAGCAAGAAGGCTACTAAAGGAAGAATAGGAGGCTTTGTTTTCACCATGGTTAATATGAAGTAGCAACTGGATACTGACTTGGTGAAACCTGGAGACAGTGTGGTTTGCTGCTCTGGTCTGTGGGAGACAGCTGAGTTTAGGGAAGGCTTTCCCTGGCACACACATTAGGTGTCAAGAAATAACTTCAACTATTGCTTTTTAACCATTCAGTGTCTTTTCAATATGGTTGAAGGTCTCATGACAAAATATACAAATTTTCATTTCACATTATCTTCTGGATAGTTTGGCTCAGGCTCTTGTTGGAGGCCAAGGAGAAAGCTCTAAAATCTTCCCTCAATGGGAAGAAAGCAATGAGGTCTGAAAAACAACTACAGAATCTGGCAGAGACCAAGGCAAAGAATCCTGTTGGAGATAAGCAGCTAATTTGTCATCAGTAGAAGAGATCCCTTTCCCCAGGAACAAAACAAATAGGGTTTCACTTTGTTAGCTGCTATTCCTATCCAATAAACAATGATTCCTTCCTACTACTACTTCTTGCTAACAAACCTGTGTGCAATGACTTCCTGAAAAAAGGTACATTTCAATCCCAAAGTTTCTGATTCTAAGCCTGAAAGGAAAAAAAAAAAAATATTCAGGCTGATTTGTGATCATAAGGTTTGTAATTCTGCCTGAAACTGGGCTTCTGCACCCCTCACTACTCTTGGCAATTATTTCTCACTAAGCCTATGCTCTGCTTTCCCACACTACCTGTTTGGGGAAAGAGCAGCCTCCATCCCAAGGTCAATGAAAGGACAGAAGTGTGTTCATTATCCCTTCCGTTAAGCTATAGCAGGGTCTAGAAATGCAATGAGTCCTCAGGAGCCAATGTGAGCTGCCAGAACTCAATATAAGACTAACTGTAATGTTATTCTATGCCAAAAACTGAAAGGTGCATATTAAAGTACAAATACATGCTTCTAAGGAACAACGGCAACAACAATAACAACTATGCATGTTTTTATATTATCAATCTTTCATTTCCCTATAGGGAAAAATATTATAAGCTTCACTTTAGGGATAGGGAAATTGAAACAATTTACTTGTTTCAATTTCAAATCGAATTTACTTGTTTCAAATTCAAATTCAATTTCAAAATGAATTTTTGACAAGTAAATTTTTTTGGGAGGGAACAGAGCTTGCTGGTCTCCTCCCATCACCCATTGCATTGTTCTGTCTTGCTCCTTCTGCAGGGCTGCTGCCATGGACTAAGGGCTAAGTGATGTGAGAAGACTGAGCAGACTGTCACATAGCAACAGGCAGCAGAGCCAGGGCTGCTTTGCGGTGGAGTTGCTGTGGGCTGGGATGGTTATTGCACAGACATCCCAAAGACTAGGGGTTCCTCTGGGGGCTCTATTACTCTTCCATATTTGGAACTTTCCATCTAATATAGATTTGAAGATTCTGGACATGTAAAGAATAAAAGGAAAAGGGCTTTAGATTTAATAGAAAAGCACATACACACAGAACACAAACCTGTCAGATTTTTAAAATTCTGAATTCACTGTTACAGGAAACAGAGAGAATTAGAGTTATAGAAGCAAGAAAACTGATTTTTAGATTTGAGTTCTTATTCCTTTAAACTAGGACTCCTTTCTTTAGCTGTAACCATGGCAACTAACAGAGGATTCTGATCTTAAAGACTGGGTTACAACTGGCAGGAAAAAACATCAACTTGCACAAAAATGTCCTCTATTGCCAGCCCTGTGAGCAATTCTGTGCTGTTACACTGAGTGTGGAAAGCTCCAGGGTCTATAGGGGGAAGAAGCTCCAGGGTCTATAGGGGGAAGATCCTTTGTCCCCTAATATATTAATAACATTACAAGGAGCTGCCTGGCTTAAAATTGTCTAACAGGAACACAATCATCCTGCATTTCAGGACTGCATAAATGGTTTTCTCTCAGCCATGTTGTGAAGCTAAATGAGAATTTGTGTGTGAAGGAAATTCTGTAAATCTATGTATCTCAGAATTCATGGTCTCTGGCAGGGAGGGGTCTGTGGGGCTCACCTGGAATACAAAAATGTCTTCCAAGTTGTAAACAAAGAATATACACAGATGGGCCTTTGGAAGTAAAGCTGTTTGCTCCTATAGGGCAGTCTGTCTCATGAAAAGTACAGGGATACTTAACTTGGTCTGCACCACCTGGCAAGACCTCTTCATTCTCTGGACTGGTTTTCTGCTACCAGTCATGACAGAGACTTACATGGGCACAGGAAGAAAGCATATCCCTTACATCAAAAGTTACTTATTTCAAATTTATAATTTTTATACCTGAGGGCTTCTGATGTATTAGCATCAACTCTCACTTTTCATTCTGAAAAATATAATCTATGAACTCATTGGAGGATTTTTAGGAGCTATATATATGCTCACCTGCAATGAATGCATGTATATAAAAAGTGATGTGCTGTGTAAAGCAGAGCTCCTCCTGTGATCTGTCCTAAACCTGGTGTCCTAGGGCTGAATGATAGGTTGGGATGGGCCCCATGTGCCACCTTTCTGATTGACAACCCTGCTCCAGAGGGAATGATTCTGAACTGGATC